TAAAACTGCTCAAGATGGTGATGTATTTTGACATCCATGGCCCTCACTAGGTTGTCATCTTGTACCATAATTCCTGAGGTTCGCTTGACAAAACTGGATTTCAATAGACAGCGCCCTCTAGAGACCTGGATGCAACCCTATGGTCATTTTTTTCACTTGCAAGTGATAATATGTACAACGTTGGTATATAGCTTATATTCTATGCTTTCACTGTCCACATTTCAACGATGGTCGTCACAAATTGGGAATATTGACAAATGAAATGTTTCATTAAAAAAAAATTAATAAATTAATAGTTACAGCCAATGCAACTTCAAGAATATTTTGTTGAATTAATTTCTTTTCATATATTTGCAGGTATTTTATTCATATTTTATTGGATTTATTTATATTTTGTGTGGTCTACTTATCCATGGTAGTTTGTACAATGCATTCCAGTTTTTTGCACAGGTCAGTGTATGAATATTAATCATTTTTGGTGTATCATATCTCAAAATGTTGTCTAATGAATAATATTTCATTTTTATAAAATGTTTTAACAAGGATTTCTATGCAATTTGTACAAAAATGATCAATTTTTTCAAGCAATGCTTTGATAGATCTCTTATTATATCAATTTTTGTTTACTTTTTTGTGATTGACAATAATTGGAGAACAAATAATATATGAAAATTATACTAGTCATGCTATTTCAGAAGTGTGGTCACTCCTGTCAGTCTTGCACATCAAGAGCTGTGAGAGCCAATTGTTACTCTTAAAATTTAAACCATTTAAAATAGCGTAGCTCTTCTAATCACTTGTATCACATGAGACACCTGAAAATAAAATATGTTACAGGGCTATACAGGCGAGCAATGGCTGCAGAACCAAGTGTAACACAATATGTGTTTTGCATGTTGAATCTTTGAACCAAAGTAGTTGCTATATTTACATGGAAACATTCCTATAATTTTCTCTTGTTTTGGACCAGATGCACCTTTTTTCAAATTGCCTAGGTCTTATTCAAAATTTTGTATTTGTAAATATTAAAAAATTAATAAATTTAGTTTGCGAATGTTGATAAAAATTGCATTTCCATTCAAAGAATTAATTGCTATACTTACAACATGACAAATTTTTATTCATTATATTACAACATTATTTTACACCACTAGAGGGCGCTTTGTAGGCCACAGAAGAGGCTGTGTGGCTAACAAATGATCAAAATATACTTTTCAACCAGATTTGAATCTGTGTGCCATCATTGAAGTTGGAAATTTGAAAAATTCAATTAAGGTTTAATAGATTTAATTAGATGTTTGATTTAAAACAGTTTTGAAATCAGGCAGCAAGTCTAAATTAATTTTTTCTATGCAGTTTGATTTATGTACTGTACCCTATTTGCTCCAATAGAAGTTTATGTGTTTATGAAAGAGTTGAGTCTGGTCAAATTAAGACACTTATATCACTGGTCTAGAATAATATTTTCAGTTTAAATTCATTGGACGTCTTCTGTAGTGAATATAGTCATCTACTTTGTTCAGTTTTAAACACATTTTGCAAGTCTGTATTTCTACTTTTTTTTTGGTTTGTGTTATAACCATCAGTATTCTCTCTGGTGAATGAATGTATAAATTATTACTGTGTATTTTGTTGTTAGCATCCAATGAAGACCTATGGTTATGCTTTGATATTTTCTATCACTGGATATCTTGGGATATCATTTGTCTTAGCGCTTATTAAATTACTTGGTGCTCTTGTTGCTGTAACCGGTAAATACATAAATTTTCAATCTATTCACAAACTTCCACTATGTACATTCATAACTTTCAATACAAAACATTTTCCTCTTCAATTTGATTACAAATTTTCTGCATACATACTTTACACACACAAAGGCACTTTACACACACAGTCATAATGCCAAGTTTATTTCGTATTTTGGAAAATGTGGTATTTTTTGACTCCCATGTGCGAAGCACAAAATGGGAGTCTTTGCAGTTAGTGTGTCTGTATGTGTGTGTGTGTGTGTGTGTGTGTGTGTGTATGTGTGTATGTGTGTATGTGTGTCCGACTGTTCCACTGCTATCTCAAGAACCATACATCGGTTTTTGATGAAACTTGGTGCATAGATGCTCTGGGCCAATGCGCAGATTTGATTAGGTTTTGGTAAAAATCCATGCTCGTTAATTACCTAATTTGCATGATAATTAGCTAATTTTTAGCTGTTCTATGACTGTTCCACTGATATCTAAAGAACCACTCATTGGATTTTGATGAAACTTGGTACATAGATGTCATATGACACTGCACAGACCTGATAGTTTTATGGTAATATCAGTACATATTAATTACCTAATTTGCATAATTAATTAATTTTCAGCATTTGATATAAGTACTAATCATCACATTTCAATGAAACTTGGTACATAGATGTCATATGACACTGCACAGACCTGATAGTTTTTATGGTAATATCAGTACATATTAATTACCTAATTTGCATAATTAATTAATTTTCAGCATTTAATATAAGTAGTGAGCATTACATTTCAATGAAACTTGGTACTTACATACTCGAGGACTATGCAGAGATTGATTGTTTCTGATAAATATTTGTGCATATTAATCACCTAATTTGCATAATTAGTTAATTTTCAGCTTTTCCACGGGTATCTCAAGTACTAATCATCGCATTTCAATGAAACTTGGTACATAGATCCTTTAGGACTATGCAGAGACCTGATTAGTTTTAGGGTAAATAATTGTGCATATTAATTACCTAATTTGCATAATTAATTTTCAGCTTTTCTACTGATATCTAAAGTACTAATCATCACATTTCAATGAATCTAGAATTATGCAGACCCAATGAGTTTCTGGTAAATATTTGTGCATATTAATCACCTAATTTGCATAATTAACCAACTTTCACACTGATATCTCGGGTACTAAACATCACATATCAATGAATGTACATGGATGCTGTAGGACAATAGACAGACCTGGATAATTGTGGGTTAAAACCTGTACATATTAATTACCTAATTTGCATAATTAACCAATTTTAAGCTTTCACACTGATATCTAAAGTACTAATTATTCCATTTCAATGAAACTTAGTACAAATATGCTCTAGGACAATGTACAAACCTAATTAGTTTGGGGTAAAAATCTGTTCATATTAATTCCCTAATAAGCATAATAATTCATAATTTTTTGGTTCTAATCACATTTCAATTAAACTTGGAAACATAGATTTTCTGTTACATTGCGCAGACCTCATTAGTTTTACACTCAAATCTGTTCATATTAATTTTCTGATTTACATAATTAGTTTTCAGCTAAGTAATTTCGAATTATATTTAATGTGTCTCCAATACTCTCAGCACATGGGAGTTCTTTCTAAGCTTTCTTTGATTGTAAAGAGAACACAACATTGTATTATTCAATATTTAAGCGATGACATTTTTCAATATAAATTGCCACGCTAATAATTTCTTTATGATTTTTCTTGTTCTTCTAGTGACCACATGTCGTAAAGCAGTCACCATTATATTATCATTTATGTTTTTTACAAAACCATTCACAGTACAGTAAGTATCTGACACATTACTAAGACAGTTTTGCCTTCATGATGTAATGTTGAAATGTCATTATACTCATCCAAATCCAAAGTCATAACCGATCTGAGTTTACTATTACAAATCCAAGAACACAAACAATGACTGACAAATGGACAATAGACAACAAATAACTGACAGACAATAGACAACAAACAACTGACAGACAATAGACATCAAACAAAGGACAGACAAAGAAGAGACAAAGTAACACTTGACTGATAAACAGGCAATAACAAAATAACTGATTGTGATGCTTGGAATATGCTTTCTTTCATGATCCCTTATTTCAATACAGTACAATACTATTATGTTTTTATATTTTCAGGTATATATGGTCAGGGCTGATTGTAATGTTTGGAATATTCCTTAATGTTTACAGTAAAAATAGAGTCACAATGAATAATATGGTTGCAAACTTTATCAGGAAAATACTTATTAATATTCAAATCAAAAGACAAAAATATTCTCAAACTACTTTTGATGTGTAACAGATCACATAATTTTGTATTATTGTAGTTTTTTCATTATGTTACTATGTTATTAGCCCCTTCTGTATAATTATATGCCAATAATGTTATAACTATACCTAGACTTTCATAATTTACAAAATTATATATTTGTATCATAGTTTTTAATATACAAAATTCTAATTATGTAATGAATTGTCAACAATCATGGCAGTCTTCTCCTGTATACTGTAAAACATGTCTTTTTAGCGAGCACGTTATTTTAGCTAATCCGCAATTCTGCTAAATTAAGATGTCGCTAATTAGACTAGAGTATATTCCCACACTAAGATTGTTGGCACTTTAGCTAAATTAAGATTCAGTTAATTTATGCATTGAATCAAATCCGCTAAAATGGCATATAGCTATTTCAAAGTGTTTTACAGTATTTAAATATAGGTTTGATCAATTTTTGGAGATGTGTCTGTTTTTTGAAATTGTACAATGAAATCTGTATATTTGAATTTGTTTGTTGTTCAGGTTAACACTAGTGTTGTTGAGTGGCACAAGTGTAATTAACAATAAACTGGATCAAATTTGTATTCACAATTGGTTTTGTGACTGCTCAGGGCATGTAGCTACATTTTCTTACACAGCTACATGTATTATAATGGTTGTCCATGAATTGTAACATGTTGTGCTGAAAGTCAGATGAGAAATTATATACCAATTTAATTAATTATTAACATATATACAATACCATTAACACTAACATTCACAGACATACTACAACATGTCAACAGACATTGAGTGAATCAAATAAACACACAAAATATTGTAGAATGTGTTCCTATTAAGTGAACATTAATGTACAAAATTCATACATTTGCAACATAAAATATCTAATAATATAGTGTTAGTATTATTACAAAAGGGTAGAATCCCATATAAAATACATCTTTAAACCGTGTATTCTGTGGTCTTTGGGTGAATTCAGTTCATTGAGCATCAAAACTTCAATTTAGATGATTTACATTTTTCTCTTTTTCTAACTGTTATGTATTTTATTAGTTTTAGTTATATTTATAATTTTGTTTTGTCACTATTTTTATATATATTACCTTTATTGTATTTATCAATACCCCATTGTGGATATGAGTTCAATAAAGTTATTATTATTATTATTACTAAGCAGTAAGGCATGAACTTCCATTTATACATGTGTGTAATCACACATAGCTTATTCTTTCACACTTATAACCACTGCATGTATCATTTCATTTAAGCTATTGATATTTATCTTCCTATTTATATATTGTATTTATATACTTTTTTTATTATATAAAATGTGCAGTCTTGTAAAAAATAGAATAAAGCTGACTCTTATTATCTGTAGCAAGTGTTGTCATGGCAAAGGTATTTTTCCCTATACAGCTGTGAATGTTGAGATGTTTGGTTCCCCAAGACAGCTGTGAATGTTAAGATGTTTGGTTACCCTAGACAGCTATGAATGCTGAGGTGTTTATTTGGTTCCCCTAGACAGCTATGAATGCAGAGGTGTTTATTTGGTTCCCCTAGACAACTATGAATGTTGAGATGTTTGGTTCCCCTAGACAGCTGTGAATGTTAAGATGTTTGGTTCCCCTAGACGGCTATGAATGCAGAGGTGTTTATTTGGTTCCCCTAGACAGCTATGAATGCAGAGATGTGGGGTTCCCCTAGACAACTATGAATGCTGAGATGTTTGGTTCCCCTAGACAGCTGTGAATGCTGAGATGTGGGGTTCCCCTAGACAGCTGTGAATGCTGAGATGTGGGTTTACCTTGGACAGCTGTGAATGCTGCGATTTTTGGTTTCCCTAGACAGCTGTGAATGCTGAGATGTTTGGTTCCCCTAGACAGCTGTGATTGCTGAGATGTTTGGTTCCCCTAGACAGCTGTTAATGCTGAGATGTTTGGTTCCTCTAGACAGCTGTGACTGCAAGGATGTGGGGGTTCCCCAAGACAGCTGTTGATATTGAGATGTAGGGTTCCCCGAGACAGCTGAGAATGTTGAGATGTTTGGTTCCCCTAGACAGCTGTGAATGCTGAGATGTTTGGTTCCCCTAGACAGCTGTGAATGCTGAGATGTTTGGTTCCCCTAGACAGCTGTGAATGCTGAGATGTTTGGTTCCCCTAGACAGCTGTGAATGCAGGGATGTGA